CTTACAACTGTTACTTTGTAATTGTTTCTCCACAGGTTTTAGCTTCCTTTCTGGAACATATACTCCATTGCAACAAGGCTCCCCTATTTTTTAACTTTGAAATCTCGCAATAAGATTACCAGGAATAGGTGTACCATTAATTGTCAATTGTATGGATTTACTATTTTGTTAACATTATCTCTTTTTGCAGTAAACATAATTTAAAAATTTTCTGCTTTGCATTCGTATTAACCCTGCCTTTTGTTGAATTTAGATTATTTATGAGAAGTTTTTTCATCATTGAATAATATGAAAAACAAGATCTCTGACTGAAAAAGAGATTTAAAGCTAGGTATTAAGTGGCAGACACCTAGTGGCTGAGGTTAAGGAATGTAGCCCTCTGTTATGTAATGAATTGTGTTCCACAAAAAGATATGTTGAAGTCCTAACCCCTATACTTGTGAATATGACCTCATTTGGAAATAGAGTTGCAGATGTACTCAAATTAAGGTGAGGTCATTAGAGTGGGCCCTAATCCAACATGACTGATATCCTTATAAGAAGAGGAAAATGCCATGTGAGACACACAAGGAGAACACCATGTGATGGAACAAGTCAAGCCAAGGAACGCCAAGAATTGCTGATGACACCAGAAGCGAAAAGAAAGGCACAGAACAAATTCTTCAAGAGAGCTTTTGAGAACATGGCCCTGCTGACCCCTTGATTTCAAGAAGTCTGAAACAATAAATTTCTGTTGTTTTATGCAACTCAGTTTGTGGTTTCTTGTTATGACAGCCCTAATAAACTAATATATGCTTCTTAATTCACTAGCTCAACACATACTTATTGAACATCTTGCCAGATACTAATTTAGGTTTTTGAGATACATTAGTGAACAAAATAGACAAAAATCCTGCCTTTCTGGAACCTACATTCCAAGAGAGTGAGAGAAGGTTGGGAGATAGATCTAACATAGTAAGTTAGAGGATAATAGCTTCCATGGAAAAAATAAGTAGGGTAAAGTGGATGGTGGGATAGTTGCCAATTAGAATAGAGTTTAGTGTTATCAGGGTTGGCCTTGTTTTTTAGTGACTTTTGAACAAAGACAAATTAGGCAAGTGAATTAACTATGTGGATATTTGGAAGAAAAAGTGATACAGGAAGAAGAAACAGCCAGGGCAGGAACGCTAAGGAAGGGTACGCCTAACGTGTTCCAGGATCTGCAAGGAGGCCAATTTGACTGGTGTAGAGTAGGTAAGGAAAAGAAAAGTAATAGGAGATGGGAGAGTGGGGACAATCTTGTAAGGACATATCTCACACAGTGAAACAGTAGGATACCCTTAGAATGATGACAAGATCTGACTTGGTGTTTTTTGTTTGCTTTTTAGAGACAAAAGTCTTGCTCTGTCACCCAGGCTGGAGTGCAGTGGTGTGATCATAGCTCACTGCAACCTCAAACTCCTGAGCTCAAGTGATCTTCCTACCACAGCCTCCCAAGTAGCTGGGACTACAGATGTGTGCCACCATGTCTGGCTAATTTTTTTTTTTTTAAAGACCATGCCTGGCTAATTTTTTTCTTTTAAAGAGATGGGGTCTGGCTATATTGCTCAGGCTCTTCTCAAACTCTTGGCCTCAAGTGACTCTCCCACCTTGGCCTTCCCAAATACTAGGATTACAAGCATGGGCTACCCCGCCTGGGCCTGGCTTGTTTTAACTGGATTATTCTGGATGTTGTGTAAAGAATAGAAGACTGAAAGCAGAAAAATCAGTTATAAAACAATTACAGTAATTGAGATGAGGTAATGGTTTAAACCATTAAACCAAGCAGTAAAGGGTGCAAGCAGTAAAGGTGAGAAGTCTGATTCTGGATCTATCTTGAAGGTAGACCAATAGGATTTCCTGATTTGATATGGATGTTTCAGTTACCTGTTGCTATGTAACAATCTACCAAAATTTGGCGGCTTAAAACAGCGAGAATTTTATTTGCTTATTGTTCTGTGGATCAAGAATTCAGGCAAGGCTGGGCGCGGTGGCTCACGCCTGTAATCCTAGCTCTCTGGGAGGCTGAGGCGGGCGGATTGTTTGAGCTCAGGAGTTCGAAACCAGCCTGAGCAA